TTCTTCCCACAGATGCTGCCAAACCTGCTGAGTTTCACCAGCAATTTCTGTTTGTGAAAATTCATAACAGCACTTCTTAAAAGAAATTCAAAAGTGATCTAAATTGCACAGTACATATATAAACGTTAAAAAGCAACCAATGTAAACTGAACATTTTTAATCAAGGATTGCCAGCGGCCCTATATTTGATTAATTTTGTCACCAGAAGCAACTTAATCCAGACTAAGAGATTGGCTACCAAAACTTCACTACTGAAGGCAAAAAACAATGCAGTGCATCTTGCAAAAGCAGAGGTTAATACAGTTAACTTAGTTCATCAGATCCTGTCACTCAAGTACAGAGCTCTGCTCTTCCACTGACTGTCAAATATTAAAAGTAGAACATTACTCCAAGTTCCCAAGAGTCAATCCTGCATTTCAAATTGTATCAGTTTGTCACACCAGCAAAACAGAACCAATTAATAAAAGTTTGGCATCTGTATTGTGATTTCAAGTAAGTGTAGAATTTAACATATAAACGAAGAGATCAGTTTAGAAGCAGCTGCCAACATAATGCAGTTTTAAGATTGCAAACTGACAAATTTTGCTGCATTTGAAGTATATAATCCACTTGTCCATTATCTGTAGAATGAAGAGTACTTACAGTCTTGGAATTATATTGCCTGCATACTGAACAAGTTCATACAGGTCAGCCACCTTTCTTCCTTTGGCAAACTCATCAGTCAGATAAACTTCCAAATAATGCAATTCATCTGAAATGGCCATGTCTATCCTTAAGTTAAGGGCTACCCTCCACTCAAAGCTTATACATAAAGAACATGAAAACAGATGTTTCAAGACAAAGAAGTACAGTGCTCAAATGACTGTACTGAAAACATGCAAAAGTGTGCTGTTCAAACTAATGCAATAATTAAAACAAACCAAAACACTATCAACCATGAAAATGTGGGCATTTGAGTGTGGAGCAGGCTAAAAATCTGTGTAAACACCATCCTCATGCTAAGCAATCTCTAAAGATCATCAGGTATCCCTATTTCAAATTTCAGAGATAATAAACTGCATATTACTGTGCAACATTTGTGTGTTAAGGGGGTTTAAGTAAACGAATTGAAGATCAAATACAACTCTCATGGCAACTCAGCTTTGTCCATCAAGAAAAGTATCACTCACTTCATCATCTTCTCTTTGCTAGTTTACCATTTCTTGTTCAGACTAGTAAAATACCTGTCCACCATATCTGTTCAACAACTGTTCCATGGGAGTTTTTGTTAAAAAAATGATCCGTGATCTTAGAGCAGTGCTCCAAAATTCTCTTCTCTCTGGGGAGCAGAGGCCAAGACGAGCAACTCTATTCTTGGGTCCCAAAAGAATGAACCAAAATTTCAATACAATATGCTACAGCACAAAGCACACTCACTCTGAAGCCATCATTGTAGTTTCCAATTGCTGAAAAGGTTCACATCAAGGGAAGACAGGAAGCAAAACAGAGTCCCATATGCAATTAAATTGAACAAAGTAGCTCAAACGGATGCTAGTTTATATGCTCTCTTCAGACACCAGTCACATGTATCATGTTTGGTTGTCACTGGATGTATATTTAAAACAACCTGTTGGTGAATATCCAACATAAACCCTTTAGTTATGTATGTAGCGCACCCTCTGCATGTACCCACTGACCATTACATTCAGTAAGCTACGCTGTGAGCCCAACAATTCCTCAAAATCATTGTCAGCGCAATTCTTCACACATTCAGGATTATGTAGCAAATGTTGGTAATCGCAGGATCAAATCAGCTTTTGGACACGAGTTTTGTAAGTCTGGGCTGGTTGTATACGCTCAAGTACCTCGCTTGTTACAAACAACTGAAGTGATATGCTTTTTGATACAACTTGCCAGCTGGAGATGTATAGCCTATAAACGTAGATTTACACCAGCACTGAAAGTCATATCCCATATTACTTCATTTGTGTTTCCACTTGTCAACAAATCAACGTTCTCCTCTTCAATAGTTTGAGCGTTGTTTTATGCTTCAATTGGTTTATCTTGCAAATTGCACTAATGCATACATTGTCAAAACTTTTCAATTTGTATCTTTTCATCAATTCACAATAAAAGTTTAACAGAGTTCAGATTTATTTTTCCATGCAAATATAGCGATATGCATTACACGCAAAATTAACATTCCTGCAAGAGAGTTTGAAAAAAAGTGTAATTTGACTTATTTGCTCACCATAAGTCATTATCCCTGATAAAGTAGCACATATCATATTCCTTAACTAATTATGACTGAAACACAGCAAATCCAATGTTTAAGTTTCCAGCCATACAAAATCTCAGGCTCAATTTTACATCAGTACCAAGCATTGGTTTTGCTGCAGTCATCATATAATCTCAACTATCTTTAAGAACAGCCTTGTTCTACAATTACACATTTTAACAAACAAATATTTTGAACAACCACAGATCTCTTCCTTGCATCCCTTTCCATCTACATACACCCTTCCAAGCTCCAAAAATAACCAGGTCATTATCCCTGTAGAAAAACTTTCCTAATTCACTTTCAAAATTCCAACTGTTTCCATTCTTCACAATTCTGCAATTACTGATTTATTAAACTACGGCATAATCGCGATCTTTGATGCCCTTGACACCAATACATACTCGCCATGGTCATCACCCTTGTGTAGCTCTTTTTCACTGTCAATCTGAGGGACAAAATCTTGAAAGAAAATGGCGGACAATTGGGTTAGCCAGATCGGAGTGAATGACAAGGCCACAGAAGACCATCAAGTCCTCTCTTCTCACCATCCCTACATCATTCTAAAATGTAAAGATAACCCCCAACAAGCACCTTCTTAAAGCTCTCACCCAAACAAATACGAGTTTTTTGTACTTCTTTGTCAGAGATCAAAACCATCCAAGTCAACCACCTGTGACACTTCCCTCACTCACCCATCTGTCAAATCAACCCTTACCCTGAAGCCACCCCAGCACAGCTCTTAGGTCATATTCATCCTGTTTGACTCCTCTTGCTAATTTAACAGAACGCACTTCAAACTCTGCCACAATCTGGCAAGTGTTTTGATATTAAACCAAATGACTTGAAACCGTGACATCTTATTTGACGCTGAAATGAGCTTTTAAACACATACCCTAGTTAAGATAGTTTATTTCCACCTCTGCAACATGGCCACATTACCCTCCACTTCAGTTCATTTACTGCTGAAAATCTCTTATGCATTTGGCACTTCGATATGACTTCTCAAATGCTCTCCTATGTTCTGCCCCCCACAAACTTGGTTAGCCAAAACAGTTGCCTCTGTCCTTATTCTCAGCAGGTTACCTCCACCTCCTCACCATATGTTGTCTACAAGTCATGGGACATGTAGATTTCAACATTCTGATCCCTATTTTCATAATCATATATCTTGCCCTTTCCATCTTTACAACCTTTCCTGTGTTACAGTTCAGTTACTTGTAGTCATCTAATTTTGACTTCTTGAACATGTAATTTTAACTGTCCCACTACTGATAGTCGTGTTTAGTTGTCTAGAATCCAAGCTATAGACTACCTTCATAAACGAGTAACTCTATTTATTTCTTCAAGACACTTAAAACCTACCTCTGATCAAGCTGTTGGCCATTGGCCTTAATGTGTTTTATCTGGCTTAGTGTCTAATTTTGTATCCTAATGTTCCTGTGATGTTGCTAATAATGTCTTATTACATCAAAACACAATATAAATACAAGTTGTGTGCAAAATATTACTAGATTTCTATATAGTACTAAAAGGATACAGAGCTCATAGTAACTCTTTGGTGACAGCATCGAAGTTCGTAATTCACCAAGCATATTCGAAGCATGTTTTAATGCATCCATCAATTTATTCTTGTCCTGAAGTACAAAATATAAAATTAGTCATCAGAAATTGAGCAAAGAATGATTAATTTTTATTCAAATTTATGTTATAATAATGAAGAAGCCTAAATATCTGGACATGCTATAGCCATTACTTGTTTTGAATTCAAAGGAACAATTTAAAAACGTGTTTGAAGACACATTAACGTCAAAGTATCCACATATGCTGGTTAAATTAATAGAATTCTTTACAACATATTCAATAATTTCAGTAAGTTTAAATACAATGTCAACCTCTATAACCAACAATGCTTCAATTAAAAGCACATACAAATCTTTTAATCCTAAAATAATGCTGTGCATGATAATTGTAAGAGTCCTCTTAACTAACTTTATTCGACCATATTACGTATTTATGAAATATACCACATATCCAACAACCCTCGGTTTGAACTTTTCCTCATATCACCAGTCAGATTAGTTCACTCAAAAAAACCTATACTTAAAACCCTAATGTGATAAAACCAAGTACGTTTGAAGTAAAATGTTTTAGCACCAATGCCCCCAACGGAAAATTCACTGGTTCAGTCACTGGCCATGGATTATAATCTGACCATAGCACCTATACCCATTGCTCAGCCAACTCACAAAAGGGCAAGAACAACTGGTCTGAGGACTTAAATGAACTTATCACCCTTAAGTGAAGGATGCAGAAAGAAATATTGAAAAAACAACTTACAAAGGATAGCCAAGCCTACTTCAAAAGCTTTTACTGAATTTATTCAGATGCTTGTTTCCATAATCAATGTGCACACATTTGAGAGATACGAGACACTACAGTGGACAACAGAACAATGCCAAACTAGTTAAATTTGTATGTACTATCCATTTTCACAAGTGAAGGTAAAGTTGAAAATACTGGTAGAACATAGGAACATAGAAGTACGTACTATAGTGGTGACAAAGTTAGTGGATCTTACATTCTCTAAGCTGGCAGCCTCAAGGTGGGGGTTTCAAGTGGTCACTTGGAGTGAGGGAACACAAATAACAAAGCATTAGCCGCATTGTCCAGGTTTGTGTTAAAGTTTAATTCAGCCATTCTTTTAAAAATTGTGTGGCAGATTCTAAAATGTATGGTTTTTAGACAATACAGTATGGAGCTGGAGGAACACTGCAGGTCAGGCAGCGTTAGAGGAGCAGGAAAGCTGATGTTTCGAGTCAGGACCCTTCTTCAGAAATCTTTCTGAAAAACCCTCTCTGAAGAAGGGCCCCAGCCCAAAATGTCAACTTTCCTGCCCCACTGTATTCCTTCAGCTCCACACTGTACTGTCTGACTCCAGCATTGGCAGTTCTTACTATCTCTGGTTTTTAGACAACTCCGGTTTTAAGACAACTTGTTTTGATAGTGTACCTGTAGAAACAAAATAGGGATGATTGCAGAAGATGATAAATTGGGAAAAAGAATTCTATGACCTTTTAAAGCACAGATTCGGGAAAAATAAATTGGAACTATTTTCTTTATAGCAAGAGATTTGAAGTCAATAAAGAGCTAAGAAATAAAACGGCTCATATTTATAATCACCAAGCAAAAAGTAGATACCAAAAAGCAATACATATACTTAAGGATGGTCACTTTTATCTCAAGGGGAATGGAATTCAGAAAAGGTGAGAAAAACCAAGTTAGACCTGATCAGGAGCACCGTATTCCATTTTGGGCATCAGGTGTCAGGAATACAACTTAGTTAACCAAAATGATGTGTGATCTTAAAAGGAAGAAATTATCAGGGAGGTTATATAGAGTTCTAGCAGGCTGAATGGTTATCTAACAGAAATTGCAGGAAAAACTCAAGAGGTCTGGCAGCACCTGTGGAGAGAAAGCAGAGTTAACATTTCAGATCCAGTGACCCTTCTTCAGAACTTATCTAATTAACCTGTTTAAAATAACAGAGATTTGATGGGCAGATACAGAGAGAAATTATTTCCTCAGCTAAAAGGAGCTTATCTTTTCAATTTAAAGAAAGAGAAAGTCTGGAACTCAGGCCATTGAAAGGCTTAAACATCAAAACCGATTTAACTGAATTGTGGAACAGACCCTAGTTCTTCAGTCTGTTCCAGAACTCCATTAGATCAATTTCAACTGACTTCGTATTCACAGCCTTTTGGTGGCCTCAGTTCAGATTTTATCAAGTTCCTGAACCTGATTTGGGATCCTAGACAAAGAAATACAAACTTCATTCATGCATGATACTGCTTATGTAATTATATAAAATTCAAGATATCAATAAACATTTGTCACCATGGCACACCAAATGCCTTCAAGAGAGAGCCAGGAAGTATAGCATCACAGGTAACTAATAGTTTGCCCAAGACATAGAGAGTAAAGATTTAGTCAATGCGAAATATTCTGGCAGGAAATAGCTTGCTCTTCTCCAATTTTATTATCAGTAGCCACACTAATTCTATTAGGTATAGTCATACCAGTGTTTGTCCAGTAACAGAAGTAACAGAACATCAATTTAACTTGACACAAAAACAAAGTTGCTGGAAAAGCCCAGCAAATCTGACAGGATCCGTGAAGGAAAAAACAGAGTTAACGTTTCGGGTCCGATTTTTTCTTTCACAGATGCTGCCAGACCTGCTGGGCTTTTCCAGCAATTTTGTTTTTTTTCCTGATTTACAGCATCCGTAGTTCCTTTGGTTTTTAAACTTAATTTGACAGCCTAGCAATAAAAGGACAAATGGAATTGAGGATTCAGTTGAACTGAAACTGGAATTCCTCTTTTTTCTGGAGAAAAAATTCATTCCGTCAAATTATGAAAATATTCAATTTTCTTAACAAGTCAATATCTTCTAAATGTAACTGCCAAAATCACCAAGATACCACATGAAGATGTCACAAGAGGTGTGCTACACGAGTTGGCAATGCAGTCTCAACTTGACAATTTTGTACATGTAATTTGAATTCAGGGACAAAAGTACGGCAGTTAAATTTGATGACAAGCATAGGTACAGAAGTTAGCTACAGAGGGCGCAAAGGGATATAGATAAGTGAGGGGGCAAAGATCTGGCAGAGTAGAATATGGGAAATATGAAATTGTCCATTTCAATAAACATTAAAAAAGAAACATGATCTAAAATCATACAATCCCTACAGTTAGGAAGCAGGCAATTCAGCCCATCAAGTCCACACTGCCCCTAATCCACCTAGCCTGCACATCCCTGGACACGATGGGCAACTTAGCATGGGCAATCCATCTAACCTGCACATCTTTTGACTGTGGGAGGAACCCAGAGCAAACCCATGCAGACACGGAGAGAATATCCATGTGGAATTTAACAGTCACCGGAGGCCGGAACTGAACCTGGGTCCATGGTGTGGTGAGGCAGTAGTGCTAACCACTACGCCACAATGCCACCCAAATGACGAGGGGTTACAATGCTCAGAGATGTCTGGGAGTCTTCATGCCTGAATTGCAGAAAGTTAGCATGCAGGTACAGCAAGTAATCAGGAAAACTAACAGAATGTTACATTTTATTAAGAAAGGTTTTGAATGTAAGAGCAGGGAGGTTATGCTTCAGTTATACAGTGCATGTGGAATACCGCACACACAGTACTGGTCGCCGTACACACGGAATGATGTTAATACTTTGGAAGCAGTTCAAAGGTGGTTCACTAGACTGACCTGCATTGAGCAGATTGCCTTTGAGGGAAAGCTAGACAGGCTAGGCTTGTATCCTCTGGAGTTTACATTGGACAAAGGTGACTTAATTAAAACGTACAAGACCTTAAGGGACTTGACCGTGTGTATGTGGAAAGGGTGTTTCCTCTTATGGGATAATCCAGAACAAGGGGTCACAGTCAGAAAAATATAAAAAAAAAGGAGGCCATTTAAGACAGATGAGGATTTGTTTTTCCATGCAGATTTGGATGTCTTTGGAATACCCTTCCTCAAAAGGCAGTGGGTGCAGAACTTTTAATTATTTTTAAAGGCAGAGGTAGATAGATTCTTTGATTACCTCAAGGATGACAGATTATCAGGAATACAAATTATTGAGTGAGCACATTGAATGGTGGAACAGTGTCAGGACACAGGTGGTCTACACTTGTTTTTTGTTCTATGGAGATCATCCTTGGGAAAAACAAATTTCAAAGCTCCTTCCCAGAATTAAAACATCACTGGGCTGAATAAAAGATATTAAAAAGAAATGTTTGAAGTAATGACAAAAATTTGGCTCCTATTCACGTCAACAATTGCATTAACTGTAGGACACTGCAGCACCCAGTTCAATTATTTTTCTTGGAATATTTTCACTTGTACAAATGGATATTGATCTGGAGCTTCCAGTATAACATTATCCAACACCAGGATATATTTTGCTGAATTATCAGTGAAGGATCTATAAATATTTTCTTTTGAGCCAATAGGTCTTCTATAAAAGCTGCTTCAGTTTTAGTAAACAGTAGCTTGGTCTCAAATCCATTCTGGGTACCACATTTCAACAAAGATAGGATGCTATTATTAGAGTGTTAAGGAAAGATTTATCAGAACGGTTCCAAAGATGAAGGACTTCAATTATGTGGATAGTTTAGGGAATCTTTTGTAGTTTCTCTGCAGAGAAAAAAAAGAGTTGACAGATTTAAGGGATGAGCTAACAGACAGAATAGATAGGGAGAAACTGTTCTCATTACCAACATGGCTGTCAAAGGGGATATTGATCCAAGGTGATAACTTCTCTAGCTTCCACCCTAAACATAAAGAAACCATCTTCTATGGACTATCCCTGTGCATACACAGGAACTGCACAGAAGAGGAGGAAAACGACGGATACGTAAATATTTTGAAGGACGCCCTCATAAGAACAGGATATGGTCAGCTCAAAAGTTGCCAGGTTTGACGTGCCACAGCGACAAACCGTAATGACCTCCTCAGATGACAGACATAGGATATGACCGATAGAGTACCCTGTGTTGTCCAGTACTTCCCTGGAGTGGAGAGATTGTGCCATGTTCTTCACAGCCTTCAACATGTCAATGA